TTCTGCGTGTCTTCCGAGGTACGCAGAGCACGCTGACCGATCAGACCGCGGTCGGTAAGTTTGCATATTGGTCTTTTCGCGCTCTAGCTTTGCAACGGGGCATTTTCAGAGAAAACTGTTCGAAATTTCTGAACTTCATTGCCCGTTAAGTGTAGGCCGTATCCTTTGTGAGATGAACGAACACCCGAGAAGTGAGATTGAGAGTAACAGACAGACAGACAGACACACACACACAAACCCAATGAAAAGCACTAAAGTGCAAACCCTCGGCGAACTGCAAATGCGCCGTACCGCTAATTGATGGGCTGGGCTATTAGTGTGCGTTTACTCGCGGTCTCCCGCTAGTAGCTCGCAGAGAGTCTGACACGGGCTAGCTACAGCAATAGATAGCATGAGAGAGTCGATACACGCCATTCGTTGTGCCTTATTGAGATACACAGAGCAAGCGGACCCGGTCGAGGTAAGCCTGTGCTGAATATAAGCGCATGCGCATTTTCCGGAGCGATAAAATGGCATTAGCCGTACAATGCCGGATGCGCTCTAGCTTTGCAACGGAGCATTTTCAGAGAAAACCGTTAGAAATTTCTGACCTTCATTGCCCGTTAAGTAGGTCGTATCCTTTGTGAGACGAACAAACACACGTGAAGTGAGATTGAGAGTAACAGATAGACAAACCCAACTACAGTAACCCTCGCTGCGCATGCGCGCGAGGGTTAAACGTGAAACCGGAAGTATCTGCACGAAGCAAAGCCGGCGCGGAGCAGCACTTGAAAGGATTCTGAAGCAAACAAGCATATAATACAGCAGCTATATAGCAGCCCTGCAGTTGAGCCTCTCAGCAGCAAAGTTGTGACGGTGGGGAAGCCATGAAGCTAACACTGGTCTTTTGTGGCCTGCTCTGTGCAGTAACAGCGATCCCGGGCATGCCTGTGAGTCCAGCTAGCTATCCTGCGTGGAGTTTTGAAGATGTTTAGTTACTTTCCTCTTTTCCTTAGTCTACAGACCCGTCTGCATATGACTTGCGCTACAGAATACCGACCGGGTGTGATCCTACGACGGACTGTACCTATTTCGTGGGTCTGGAAGTGAACGCGAATAACCCCAGCTACCTCGATGTGTTTCTCACTGCACCTGTGGCTGGCTGGGTCGCCGTGGGCTTTTCACCCACTCCCAGTATGGTACGTGTTGAAACTAGAGCAGGTATGCAGTAGCTGCAGCGGTTGAGAGCTGGATCTTTTAGCCCGATAGTGATGTCTTTGGCTGCATTGTCCGGGACTCTGAGGTAGAGGCAATTGACACGTACAACGTCCCCACAGGCGCAAGAAACAATCGTTTGGATCCCGAGGTTGGTTTCTGCTTGTCTTGCCTCATCGTGTATATATACTAATAAATGCTGTCTTCTCGGGCTCAGCAAGGTGATATAGTATTTAGCACTGGAACTCTGGAGAATGGAAGGATCACTTGCACGTAAGTCCACAAACAGCCTCTCAGGACCCAGGAGTATCTCTGTTTCGTCTTCTTCCTGTGCCCTCAGCTTCAGTCGACTCATAGCAGGCGATCAGGCCCCCTCAGTTGACCGGAATCTCAACAACAGCTTCTTCCTCCTCTCTGGGTTTAACATCAATGGAAGAAGTGAGTGCTCTTCTTACCCTACCACCTTCTTTATGATTCCAGCACACACACACCACAGCTGCTGAAAATGCTGGCTTCAGCGTGCATAGGTTTACGCCAGGTGACCTGCCAAGAGCCCTTGCCACAGAGATGGTCAATCCAGTGATGGCGGAGGGCGAGCTGCCTCTCATGATGGAACCAACTGATGAGTGTCCCACTGATGTTCCCTCTCCTGTACGTCACCCTCTATCAAGAGCTAGAGCTTCAAGACACTCTCTAGTGGTGTCCTGATTCAGTTCAGGACACACTCTCTAGTGGTGCCCTGATTCAGTTCAGGACACACTCTCTAGTGGTGCCCTGATTCAGTTCAGGACACTCTTTAGTGGTGTTTGGATTCTTTTAGGTCATAGATCCTCAAGACTACAGACTGAGGCGCAGAGACCCAGCAGGGTGCGACCCACAGGACTGTGATTTTTTCATGGGCATCAACAACAATACCAACCCTGAGTACCTGGATTTCTACATGACTGCAGACATTGGTGGCTGGGTGGCAGTTGGATTCTCTCCCTCTGCCAACATGGTAAGTGTGCCGCAGCACATGTACTAGGACAACCCCTCATGTACCTGGCACAGCCTACATACATTAATACATGTCCGCAGCAGTTGATCATAACAGCAGACAATGTTTTGCCTTTTCATATAATCTGTCTATAATATGTCTATAATACAGTACAGTGCGCTAATATTGTATTATAGCCCTATATAAATTCTTATGGACTTATGGGCGCTCTGGGCATATATGGATAAGGGTTAACACATGTCCGTCCCTGGCTGGGTGCGTGCTACAGGGTGCATGCGTGACTTGGGAGTGCTTTAAAAATACAATTTTCAGATGCGGTCAGTGCCCATCTGAAATCGGATGCCCCTTAGCCCTAAATTTTAGGGGGAAGCTTATGAAACTTCAGACAGGCATCTACTCTGAAGTTTCATAAGCTTCCCCCGAAAATTTAGGGCTAAGGGATATCCGATTTCAGATGGGCGCTGATCGCATCTGAAAATTGTATTTTTAAAGCACTCCCAAGTCACGCACGCACCCTGTAGCACGCACCCAGCCAGAGACGGACATGTGTTAACCCTTATCCAGCCACGGGCACATATATATGCCCAGAGCGCCCATAAGTCCATAAGAATTTATATAGGGCTATAATACAATATTAGCGCACTGTACTGTATTATAGACATAATTATTATAATATTCTTATAGACTTATGGACGCTCTGTGCATATTATTTATGTGCCCGTGGCTGGCTAAGGGTTAACACTTACGCCCATAGCTTCCAAAGCAAGGAGGTAGTCCAAACGCGGGTCAGTTTGATGCATATATGTGCGGCTAGACGTGTCCGATCTTAGATCGCCGAGGTAGCTGCAACACTACGCGGAGTAAGTATATGTTATTACACCTTTTGGAGTGGTGTTGCTTGGTTATCCGCCCGACTCCACGTGGGCGCGTAGCGCCGAGGGGGGAGCGGATAAACCGCAACACCACGACAAAAGTGTAATAAAATGCTTATTACTGTTGATTGGTCGTTGCTGGGGATACACACGCGCGATAATGGCGCATTTCACCCAATAAGGCGATGCGCGTGAACCTGCGCAAAACGTGCCGTTCTATTATACGCGGCTGGCCGGCTCGCCAGGCAAAGACACGGACGACGCTGACATATCGAGAGAGCGATCTAGGGAGCGAATGGCAGAGGCTTTCCGTTTGGAAGTCGAGGGTTGGATTCTGAGACGTCGCGGCAAGACTCCGCGTCCGAGAGTAGCGCTCCTGGGGACGGGCCGTCTTCATTGAAAAGGCGTAGGCTCTCGTTACATGCGTATTGTACATTGGCAGAACGGTACTTACCTTACGCTTTCTCCACAAGAAAGAGGGCTACGTGCACTACTTCACAGCTACAGAGAGGTTTGCACGTAGCCCTCTTTCTTGTCAGAGACAGCGAGAGCCTACGCCTTTTCGATGCCGGCGGCCCGTTCCCAGGAGCCCTACTCTCGGACGCGGAGTCTTGCAGCGACGTCTCAGAATCCCAACCCTCGACTTCCAAACGGAAAGCCTCTGCCATTCGATCCATCCTCGATCTGTCAGAGTTGTACATAAAAACATTGATACCCAACCCTAACCCAGTGGATATTCACACCATTCCTAGTTATTACCTAACCACAGTGGATATTCTCACCTTTTCACCCTCTTGGGTGGGTAGCTGATTTATTGTGCTAAAATAAACATAGCAACGACCTAGCAACGGGTAATAAGCGGAAATACTATAGGTGAAGGCTACTCTCCTTAGTGCAGGTTGGAGGGCTTGAACTCCGCTTTTACTGGATGTTGTTATATTCCAGAAAGCTTCGTGATGAAGGGATATTTGCAGGGCGTCCGTCGGGAGATGAAAACGTCCGATGTTACGTAATATCGGCAGTGGACCTTTTCGAGGGCATAACTCGGCAACAAAAGCGCGTCAATCCTCCAAACTTGGAACGAAGGATTATCATTTACAACACTACATCCTAGATATAGAATAACTAATTATCGTACGCTCAGGAGGCCTGTCCGCTTATACATGGTGTCCGACCTTTGATGAGCTACTCTACATGTACCACCACATCCCTGTTGTTTCCCTCTTGACCTCTGACCCCGAATCTGACACTGCATCCTGTGTGGTATATACTACTAGTCCTCCACTGCTAAAATTGTATTATCTCACCCGAACTAGGTGAAAGGGTGTATACTAGTGAACATTGTTGGCGAGCGGGAGCGACCCAACTTGGATTTGCCCGCGATGTTCGGGCTGCATAACGTGCCGTCAGCGCACAGCTTTCCTTTCGTGAAGCAAGACAGATCTACCTGTCGTTGTTACATGCGTATTGTACATTGGCAGAACGGTACTTACCTTACGCTTTCAGCTCGACAGTCACCAGGCAGCTGGCATGCAGCAGTATGTGCACGAGCAATCCTAGCGTATTTGCAAGTTGCTGGAACCATGAAGATTGGGAAGAGGTATATACAGCCTCGGTCAGTCACCGAAAGTTGCAGCGCATGCCGTCGATCGAATGGAGGAGACTCTCGCTGGTTAGATCATTATCGCGAGGCACGTGTGTTAAAACATTTGTTCGGATAAAAAGCGCGTACAAAGCCGCGCATGCGCACTTACACGACGTACCAACGATAAATATAATTATAGAAAAATCGGCCCGTTGCGACGACTAAAAGTCTGTTCGCGTTCACCTTGCCGCCGGAAGTGCACTAGTCAAAACTGTTTACGCAAGGTTGCGTCATAATTGAAATATCGCGAATATTTGTGGGCGGTGGATGTACGCTATGCCGCGCGTGCGTTGAATACGTTCCACGTGTGGTTCCGTGAGTTTTTCTAGTAAAGACGGTTTATTCAAACAACAAACCTCTCATTCTTGCTTTTTCCTTGGTCTGGGCTCCCGCAGTAGCGGCGGGGAGAGAGGGTTCTTGCTCGCGCTGCGCTACGCGCGCACACTCTACATGTAAGCGCGCACATTGGACCGGCGTGATTGCATTTTCGTGGTCAAAGGAACGTCGCGTACTTTGCTTATGTGACATACAGCTAAGTACGTAAGTGGGCGTTGGACGCGCTCGCAAAGCAGATAAATAGAACCTACGCTCAACTACAACCACGCTGCGCTTTGAAATTTCGAAATCGGTCGCTGTTTAGCTACATTACGGCAGATTTCCTACCGGCAAGGTGAACGCGAATAGACTTTAGGTTGGCTCGCTCCCGCTCGCCAACAACACACTACCGTCTAGGAAGTGTGTACACATATCCTCTACATAAATTCTGATAGTGTAGTGAGTAAGACATGATAACTCCCTCCCTGTTAGTTTGATGCAGATGTGGTTGGCTGTAATGTCGACTCAACCAATGGTGATGTGGCTGTCGTTGACACCAGTAATCCTGTAAGTGGCAGAGCCAACAATCTCGACATCACCCGAGTAAGTGGGGAGTGCCTTTCTCTCTCCCTCACTATATTATACCTGTGTTCTCTTGATTTGCATGTATATACCTCCGTCCATCTCTCTTTAGGATGTTTGTAGACACTCATCCAGTTTTGTTAACGGACGGATCACTTGCATGTGAGTGACCGGGATTCTTTTAGTCCTTACCCTCCCTCCCTCTCTCCTCCCTCTCCTTCCCTCTCCCTCCCTCTCTCTCCTCTTGCCTGTTCCTGCTCAGATTCAGCAGGAAGGTCGTAGGCACTGATGCTACTCCTATGGACAGACCTCTAAACTCCGACTATTACTTTCTCTTTGGAGTTGGGAGATCTGGAGGAGGTATATATAACACTACACAATACCCTCACATTAGTAGAGGCTGTGTGTCAACCTTCTACCACTGAATCATGGTTGTTGCCTGCCTTGCGTTGACAACCCATTGATAAGTCTCAACCACTCAAACAATAGTGGGCCCCCTTGATTTTTCCCAAGTGCAGATGTTGCTTTTCTTGTCCTCACACTGTCGTGCCTCCTTTTGTCTCTGGCAGGAAGTGGCTGTTTCCCTAACCACCAGCCCCTCATTCCTCCCATCAGTGGCAGTCAGTTCAACCCTCTCAAAGACTCGGGGGGCATTGCAAGCACATCTCGCTCACTCTATAATGCACAGTGGTAAGGGTGTATACAAATATGTACTAGCCTACTCACTATAGTTACTCATCCAGTAAGGTTGAGGGCTCACATTTTCCTCAATGATGACAAACGCGGATACTTTTCCTCCTCCAGGCAGCAGTTGGTACATGCTCTCTGCTTGCTGTGTCAGCTTTTCCATCTGGCCGTCACCGTTTGGTAGCTGGCTGCTGATCGCTTCAAACAGTTCCATGACTAAACCAAATTCCTTGGTCCCTCCTGTGGTCTGATAGATTTGGTCTCTATGTACCTTTTGCTCTATGGTTGTCACGTTGCAGCCTGTCTGGCAGGCATATAAGTTACCATCGGAGCCATAGGCTTCTTTACATGCTGTGGGGAATGGGGAAATGACAGGAAAGAGAGACGTAAAGAGAGCGTACCTAGGGGTACGGTGTTCAGGGTAGGAAGGGGCGCAGTAGTCAGAGCACGTCTCGTCCTGGACCTGGAACTCCACCTTACCCTCTCCCTCTGCCAGGCAAAAGGCGCCCAGTCCCAGAACCAACACGAGAAGAACGGGCACCCGCATCTCTTTCTCCCCGATCTGCCAACTCCGTAGATATCCTCCGGATATTGCGGTATCGGAAATCGTAACGTGAAACCGTAAGTATCGGCACGAAGCAAAGCGGGCAGAGCAGCACTCTGATCGATATGACAGCTAGGCAGCGTGTAAAAATTTGCGCGTTCCCTATCACGAAAGCGACACTGATACAAAAGAGCCTCTCTGCTCAGGAGTCTCACGGGCACGATGTTCTCTTTCCCACTCTCTTCGACGACGAAGGGCATCTTCCCCGGACTATATGCACATGTAGCTATACGCATCACAGGCAGGCAGCGTTGGAAATTTTGAAATCATTTCACGATATAAAAGAGAGCGCGTAATCCTGGGCATGTCGAGTTGGAGACGACGTACGGTCGTAGATATAGTGACCCGCTACGGGAAAAGGGCCCATTTCACGCGCAAAATTTTTTTTCGTGATTTTTGTACGAGCCTGTTGCTAAAAGCCCGCTCCGTACTATGACGCAATCGCAAATCGCGTAACGCGCTTCGCTTCGCGTACACGCAGCGGTAGCGAGGGCGTCCCTAGAAACGGGAACGGAGATATTGACCTCAAAGATGAACTTCCGGTCTAAATCCGAAATTCCGTATACGTGATCACGCGGCGCGCGCGTAACAGAAAAAAAACAAACAACGTATATACATGTAGCTAAACTACAAGACCAA